CGGGAAGTCGAGAGGCCATGGGTCCTGGCGAGGCTAGGGGCAGGTGGAAAGCCCCTTGCTCGTCTTTCCCGGGATGGAGGCCAAGGACTGAATGTCTGCTTAATCCACGGATTCCTGCCAGGGGTGGGTGCTGGCTTGCTTCACACAGTGGAGAGCACTCGGCCGGGACCTAGAGCCCTCGGCCGGGACCCAGCACCAGTCAGTAGGTCTTCCTATGGGCTTAGCCTTCAGGGAGCCAAAAAGCCAACCACCTATTTCTTGCTCCGGGCCTGCGGGGAAGAATGTACAGTACTACGGCTGGAAGTCACATCATGAAAAAAACATTGGTGGACACCCCCTGTTTTTGAGAACCAACGGGTCATGCAGGAGAGGCACTCTGCCCTCCAGCAGCTACTACCCCGTGCCCCTCCTGGCACCAGAATCATTTATTCCCCATTCTGCCAAATTCCTTGGCTTTGTTCAGAGAATGCTTTGACTCCCTCCTTCTAAATCCTGCCTTTCTATGTAATCCAGCCCCTCCGATTTATAATTATCAGCAAATAAAAGATTTGGCTTTGGCTATGGCTTTCAATTATGTGGGACTGATCGTGAAACATATCAGTAGGGCTAGACGAACTTAGAGATCCAAAACTTCTATTAAAAGACCATCAGGGGGACCAGCAGGTGGCGTGGTGGTTAAGGCTCTGGTCACTCCCACATGGCCGACCAACCGGGGTTCGAGTCCTGAATCTGGTGGCTTGCTTTCTCACTTCCTTTCTCTCACTCTCACCCTCTGTCTCTCTCTGTTCAAATTTAAAAAAATAAAAAAAAAAAAAAAAATGAATGAATAAATAAAATAAAATAAATAATTATTTTAAAATATTTTTACAAAAAAGACCATCAGCACAGAAAATATCAATGGCCTGGTCCCTGCCTTCACGGGATTTAACTCTGATTGCAAAGACATTTTCGTGCATAAAAGGGTAGGAAGCAATAAAAGGGAGCACATACCAAGTGTCAGGTCTTTGGTCTATACACTAAGCACTGTAGGAGCTAAGAGAGTTCAGTGTAAACAGCAAACCGTCAAGAATGCTTTTACTAGAAGAGTGAGCCAGCTTTCTTTGTAGGAGAGTTTGGGCTTAAATAAGCCAAGAGAATTGGAATATGACTCTAGACAAAGGAAATGGTTCAAGTCCAAAGTGTGGTACCTGAAAAGTGCAGAAGGTGTCCTCCAGTTTAGGTGGTGGGTGATGAAGCTAGAAAGGGATAATTAGGAAGAACTTTGAATACTAGGCTGTGGCGTGTAGAATTTATTCAGTATCAGTAAGGGATCATTAAATGACCTTTAGCAGGGAGACAAGTATACAGTTTAAGAGAAATTTAAATTGGTGATGATGGAGCAGATGAATCAAAAGGAGAGATGAAGGAGCCACCAGGAAGGTGGTGGATAAAGGTGTTGGATTCCCATGTGGTGGACCAAGATTCGAATCCTGGACCTAGCAGCTTGCTTTCTTGCTTTCCCTTTTCTCTCTCTCTCTCTCTGTCTGGTCAAATTAAAAAATAATAATAAATGGAATTAAATAAATGAATAATTCTTTAAAACAGAAAAGGAGAAATGGAAATCATAATAGTTCATGCATGAATAGACGAGGGACTTCACTGAGATGGTAATAGTGGAACTGGAGAGGAGGAGACCAATGCAAGACGGGAAACGTAGAGGTCTTGGCAACATCCGGGTATGTAGAAGTGAAAGAAGGAAGAGTGGAGGATGGCTCCCAAGTTTTCAAGTATGAATTGCTGGAAGAACCAGTAAATCTTAGGAAGCCTGAAGACGCTGACTTGAAAGTAAAGATGGTGTATTGCATTGAGTTCAAGGTGACATCAAGACAACAAAGTAAAATTGCTCTGGTACTAGATATGAATCAGAGCCCAGGAAAGAAGTTGGGTCTGAAGATCCAGCGATGAAAGACTTTCATTTGCTGAAGAATGAGGGACAGGGTTTAGAAAAAACAGCCATTCTGGAGTAAATACATCTTAAGGCTTCAAGGGAAAAGGTGAGCCACTGAAGGATATTGTACAGCTACAGGGAGAAATCAGTACGTTACAGGATCATAAATATTGAGCATTTTGAGCCAGCCAGTGGCATGGTGGTTAAGGTGGCTGCACTGCACATAACTGACTGCACAGTTCAAGTCCTAAACCAGCAGCTTGGAAAACATGATGAGCAGGTGTTTGTGTGCCCAAAAATCTTAAAAAGGCATTGTGACATGCCTCTCCTCCTTGGGGAGTGCTTTCTCACTTTCCCTCTTTTCTGTCTCTCTCTGGCAAGTGCACATACCCTATAGCAAATTAAAAAAAAAAAAAATTAAACATCTTGTGAACAAGACTACATTTGGCAGACCAGACATCATGTTTTATTTAATCCAAGGTTCTGTCAATTACAAGAAGTGCCCATATTTTATGTACCACTAAGAAAAAAATAGCTACCATTTAAATTAATAATGATTATACAATGCATACAATTTCAGAAATATTAACATGTGAAAAATATACATCTTTTTAATTTTAAAAATAATTTTATTTATTATTTTAATTTGCTATAGGCCCCATGCACTCACCAGAGAGGGGGAGAGAGAGAGAGAAAGAGAAAAAGCAGATTGCCAGGTCCAGGACTCAAATCACAGTCATGTGGGAATCCAACACCTCATCCATGCCACCTGCTGGTCTCAATATACATTTTTTTTAAAGAATTATTTTATTTAACTTAATTTTCTTTCCATCTTTTTTCTTCCTTTCTTTCTTTTTCTCTCTCTCTTTTTCCCTTCCTTCCTGCCTTTCTTTCTTTCTTTCTTTCTTTTCTTTTCTTTCTTTCAATTTGACTACAGAAGGACAGAGTGAGAGAGAGACAGAGATAGATAGAGAGAGAGAGAGAGGGAAAGTGAGAAAGCAAGCCACCAGGTCCAGAACTCCTACCACAGTCGGCCATGTGGAAGTCCAGCACCCACAACCACCATGCCACCTGCCAGCCCTCCAATATACATCTTTTTTAAACTTAACTTTTTTTTTTAATTATTTTATTTAACTTTATTTATTTATTTATTTTAATATGACCAGAGAGAGACAGGGCAGGAGGGAGAAAAAGAGAGGGGAAAGTGAGAAATCAAGCTGCCAGATCCAGGACTCGAACTATGGTCAGTCATGTGGGAGTCCAGTGCCCTTAACCACTATGCCACCTGCTGGTCCCCTTAACTTTTATTTTTTAATTTACATTTTTCACATTTTAAAAAATTTACATTTAATCACTGTATATCTTTATAGTATGCAAAATGGTTTTTCCCAATATGAATGTAGTGCTTATCAATCAAGTTATAGATATTACCATATACATACATTATCATCTACAAATAACTTTTTATTCTTGTGACAGTTAAAATTTTCCCCTGACCCCCTTCTTCCCACACCCTATTACCAACCCCCTTCTATACTGACTTTTTGTTTAAAGAATTATTTAATTTTGGACCAGCAGGTGGTGTGGTGGATAAGGCACTGGACACTCCCACATGGCTGACCACAGTTTGAATCCCAGACCTGGTGGCTTGCTTTCTCACTTTCCTCTTCTCTCTCTGTCTTTCTCTGGTATAATTAAAATAAATTAATGAATAAATAAAATAATTCTTTAGGAAAAAAATAATTATTTAATTTTACTTATCATTATCAGGGCCAGCAGGTGGTGTGATGGTTAGAGCCGCTGGACTCCCATATGGCTGACTGTGGTTCAAGTCCTGGACCTGGCAGCTTGCTTTCTCACTTTGTCTCTTTCTCTCTCTGTCCCTCTCTCTGGTCAAATTTTTTAAAAAAATAAGTAAATAAATAAAGTTAAATAAATTAATTTTTTAAAAATTTAATTCATCATTTCATTTTTTAATTTGACCAAAGAGACAGAGGGAAACTAGGAAAGCAAGGTGCCAGGTCTGGGACTTAAACCACAGTCAGCCTTATGGGAGTCCAACACCTTAACCACCACACCACCTGCTGGCTCCTATACAGATTTATTTTTTAATAAAGGATACAATGCATTCACCAAAGACAGAGAGAGAAGGAACATGAGAAAGCACCCCCCCCACCCCCATGGGAAATGGCCAGACCATAGTCACTTTTCCATTTTTTCCTTAGGACTTTGGACTCACATGTGTATACGTACCTGTGTATTTTTTAAACGACCAAGTCCAGGACTCGAACCATGCAATTGGCTGTGAGATCCAGCTGCCTTAACCACTACTCCACTAGCTGGCCCTATACAACTTAAAATGATAAAAATTAGTATCAAGCTCTCCTTCCTGCCTCTAAACCCAACAGCTTCTGATCTACTATTTAACACAAAGTTGATGCTCAAAAATGTTCATTGACTAGTGGAGGGAATTTCAAAGCCCCTATTTCATAGCTGACCTACCCCTGCTCCTTCCTTCCAATAGGTACTCTTTCACCTCTGAATGTCTAATGCCCATGCATAATACTGGGTCGTCAGAAAAGTCATGATGTATTTTTCTGTTTCTATGTAAAAATACATTCTGATACCTTTTCCATTTGGTGTTCAGTAAATGCATTTTGAACGATAGCATTTACTATAAGCAAAAAGAATAAGCTATAGCAAATCTGCAGAGCAGATAAGTTTAGCAGCAGTTAGAATGGTGATTAAGAATTAGGGGCCAGAAGCAGCAGGTGGTGGTCAAGGTGGCTTGACTCCCACATGACTCACCGTCGTTCAAGTCCCGAACCTGGCAGCTTACTTTCTCACTTTCCTTCTCTCTCTCTCTGTATCTCTCTGGTCAACATCAAAAAATAAAATAAAATAATGACGATAAATAAAATTAGAAAAAAAGAA